GATACACGTGTAAATACTGAATAGTTTCTCTAGTGTGAGAAACTGAAAGTGTAAATAAGGACTAAAAGGTATAATAGATAATGTGAAACAGGAAGAAAAGGGGAAGGGAAAGTGGGAGGGGTAGGGGAAAGGAAAGATGGGAATGGAATATGAGAAAATGAAAAAAAGGAAACAAAATCTTTGTAAACAGGGAGGGATGGAGGGGTTGAAGGGAGGGCAGGGGAATGGGGAAAAATAAGAACCAAGAGAGATTGTGTAAAGGTGCAAATTTCCAATGATGAATGTCATTATACTGTATACCTAAAATGTACCAATGAAATTAAATTTTAAAAAAAGTACAAGTCCATACCAAGAAGGAGGAAAATGAATTACTCAGGTAATTATTGTCAACCAAAGATAACCACAATGAACATTTTCCTTCCAATTTTTCTTCTATACTTTTTATTTGCTTGTTCTGTTTTCACATAGTTAGGAGTAGTCTGTATGTGGTACTTTGTAATTTTATAATTCTTTTTCTTTAACATGACATCAAATTACTTTTTCTCATTACTAACACAACTTTTACTTGCTGAATAACATTGTACATCTACTGAGACAACTTTCTCCTTTTTAATCTGGCATTTTGACAAAGTAGATAGATTGGGCTTTTCTAATGTTAAACCAATTCTGCACTCCTGGAATAAATCCAATGGGGCTATGTTGCATTCTCTGAATAAAATGCTGGGCTTTATTTGTTAATATGGTGTTTAGAGTTTTCAAATCTGTATTTATAAGATGGGAATGAAAAATTTCTGTCTTGTGTGGTCTTTACTGGGGTTTGGCATCAAGATTATAACAGCCTCTTTAAATGAACCGCAGCCAACAAGCTTTTTTCCAGTTTTCAAACAGCTGATTTGAGAGTGGAGTTATTTATTCCCTCACCAGAGTTAGCCATGAAGTCATGTGGGATTGGATTTTCTTTGTGATAAGGCTTTTAGTTACTAATTCAACTTTTCAAAATAATTATGGGAACATTCAGGTTTTCAATTTCTTTTAGTGTCAATTTTTGATAAGTTGTCTTTTCCTAGGAATTTATTTTCAAAATTTCAAAAACTAGTCTTCTGTTATGTGTTTAATGATTGTAGTGGCACATACAGTAGTAATTCCAGCTACTTAGAAGGCTGAGGCAGGAGGGTCACAAGTTCAAAGCTAGCCTGAACAATTTAGCAAGATCTGTCTCAAAATAAAACATAAAAAGGATTTTTTTTTCTAAAAAGGATATTTTAGATATAAAAGGGTATAGCTCAGTGCGAGGTCCTAGGTTCAACTCTCAGTACTGCAAGAACCCCCCCCCCCACAAAAAAAATCAGAAACACATATATACATACATGCACACATCAAAAACCTATAATTTTACATGCATATTTGCTGCATTTTTAATATTTTCACCTCAAGACAGACTTCCAAAAGCAGAAATATGGGGTAAAACATTTTTAAGTCTCTTGATACTTCCAGCTAAGCTATGCTAAGTTGCCCTGCTGTCACCAGAGTGTAAGCATGGCTATTTCCTTGTACCTATTCTCCTCATACATGAAGCTTCTTTTTGAAAGAGTTGGCTTGATATGTGGAAAGAATTACATTTTGCTTTAAATTGTTTATATATAGATTGTTGATAAGGACCAACATTGTAACACATTTTCTATTTATTTAGATCTTTGGGGATCATTTGAGAATCAATGATTTTTATTTCTGTGTATTTACATAAGATTCACCAGGATCGAACTCGGGTCCTTGCGCTTGCGGGGCAGGCAGTGGAACCACTGAGCTAAATCCCCAGCTACATAAGATTCTTATAAGTTGCACACTGTGACCAACCTGCCTTTGAGAATTTGCTGCCAGATGCTAAGAACCCATTTCACCTTCCTGGTGAGTGGTGAGGATGCGGCTCCAGAAGAGGCCAAGAGGAGCCCTGGTCAAAGAGCAGCACTTGGGTCTGACTCAGTGGGTCAGCGGCATGAATGAAGACCAGCTGTTCATTTACTCATCTGACCTGTATTTACTGACCTCCCGCAGTATGTGCTCTTTACGGGGCTACTGAGCTAATGAAGGGCAAGTTGGAGCGTGTCAGGAACACCCTTACAGACCTGACAATCCAGTGTGGAGACAGACACTAATCAATCCTTGAGAAAAACACACAATCAGAAACAGAAACATATGCAATGAAGAAGTATATGCTCTACAGCAGAACAACAAGGCACCCAAATGAGGAATGATCAGACTTAGGTAACGGGGACAGAGAGATGTGACATTTAAATTGGGGAAGGATGAGAGTTAAGCAGAATGCGGAAAGAGTGTTTCAGGTGGAAGCATCAGCCTGTGTGAAAGCCCTGGGGCAGGAGTGATCAGGACAGTCTGTTGCCACAAGTGCAGTTTTCACACATCACTTTCCCCTGGAGTCAGTGGGAGCACAGAGAAGGGCAGCAAAAAATGCACAACTTGGAAGTTCTGAGAGAGAATGCAAGAAACTGACTGAAGTTTTAAAAAAGTTCTTAACATGGCACTAGGAATTAAAACTTTCCCTTCTGCTAAGAATATTCAAACAGTTAAAATTTCCTAAAACTTGACGTCTGAATAGTGATACTAAGAGGGCCAGTGGCTTTACATACAAAATAGCTTTTGCCTCAAAAAAGGCCTGATGTTTCTAAGCTGTTTACAGGACTGCTCCTAACTTAGGAAGACAGAGTTCAGCAGACAAATATTAATCACAGAGGGCTAAACAGGATGTGGGCTCTGCCAAACAGCACAGAATCTATCATTTCACTTTGGGATACATTTCTGGCACAAAGGCTACAGTCTGCCTTGGAAAACAGTCACTTTCAATCTGCCTAGGGAAGGCAGGCCAGTGAGTGTTCCCAAACACATGACCCCTAAACACGTTTGCAACAGACAAAGCAGGCACAGATCAAGGCAGCCAACATACTGTTCTCGCGGACCAGGCAGAACTCCCAAGCGCTCTGACTCTCCAGCGTGCTCTCCAGGTCGACTGCAACATTGGGCTCGCTCTGCTTCTCCAGGCGGTACTGAGGGCCTGGAAGATCAAAGAGGCAGGAGGAGGGGAGGAAGTCTGAAAGAGTGAATTTAACATTTAGAAATTACCACATTGGTGAAAGCTGGGAAAGCCGAAGGAAAATGCTAACGTCTGTTTTGAGGGTCTAGCCAACCCAGACAGAAGGGTTTGGGGTTTTCCCCCACACTTATCTATTCCCACTCAGTTTTCCCACAGGTCGGGTGAGAGGTAAGTGGCTCTTTGGTCCGACTGACCTGGAGTCACACATGGCTATGCCATTTCTCAGGTATGAGCAGGTAACCTATCTTCTATGAACCTCTTGTTTCCTAGTGTGTATTGTGGGAATCCACATTAACCTTGAAGGATTATCATGAAGATCAGAGATGATACAGCAAAAACACTTAGGAATGTACCTGCTAGATAGGAGGTACTCCTCCTCCAATGGTACTTACTACTAATAATTACATTATAATGAATTACAGTCAGGAGTTTATGTTTAGAACTTTAATATGGTGACAATTCAAAATTTCAGACAATTTTTTAAAAGACATGAAAGTAAAAAAACAAATTTCAGGTTTCCAGGTCATGGTGACAGAAAGACAGTTGGCTACTGATTCACATTTTTGTCAAAACATTAATGAAAACACAAGACTCAAAGGGTCAATAATCTTAGAGGCTGGGAATTCCAGCTATTGCATCATACAGAGGATTCTGGCAGATCTTAATGAAACACTGGGGCACTTTATACATTTATTCATGTATTTCTTCATCAACCAAAATGACAGTGTTGTTGTTCTCAGGGAATGCCTAACAGGTCCAATGATCAGAATCAAACGACTGCGCTTGTGATTTGTTAAGGGTTACTGAAAAGATGAGAGGCACAGGAAACTGTCTGAAAGGTGTGTTTGGTCAGACAGGAGGAGGCGTGAGGGATCCAAGGAAAGCGGCAAGGCTGTGATGGGCTCCCAGGTGGAACATGTACTTTTACATACATTCTTCAGCCGTTATCAACTTGTTGATTATTCACATCCAGTACTCCTTCACTAATTATTTCCAGGAGTCTTCCTCTCCCATGTTATATGTTTCTCTATAGCATTGCAGAGATTCATTTTACTTTCACACTTTGATCTTTTCTCTAACTGAAATTTCATTAGTACTTCCACCAGAGGTCTTAAAGAGTTCTTCTCGGAGTTCTTACATATACCCAGTCCCTTTTAGACTATTTAAATAAACACATGTACAGAAGTCTACACAGTTCTTTTAAGCACTCATGCACTGTACTTAGATTAAGAAGGCACTGTTTCAACATCATACATGGTAGGGTTCTAATTTCAAAGATGTGAAGTAAATAAAAGTATGGAATGCAGGTGATTCTTATAGTCCCTGCTGTCACCCATCAGTGCTAACACCTGTCAACTGACAGGGGTGTTTGCGGATCATCAGATATGGGCACAGTCAGTGCCGGAAGCAGTCACAGAAAAATCACACTTTTAGACAACCTAGCTGTGTGCCTGTTCAAGTCATTACAGGAAAGGAGTCACCCCTGAACTTGGAGAGCTCCTTTCTAAGACACTGGTCGGGGAAACCATCTCATGGCTGGACCTGCAGCCCCAGCACCTCCTAGCAGCACAATGTGTATTATACACTGACATCACATCTGTGAATCTACAGTTAAGTATGGGTACAAAATTTGTTATAATACAGCCAACCCCACCATATCCACGTCTGTGGATGCAACCAACTATGGACTGAAACTGTTTAGGGAAAAAAATTTCACCCATACTGAATTTGCACAGACTACTGTCACTGTTTCCTAAATGATGCAGTGTAACAGTTGCTTACACAGCATTTACACAGTATTAGGCATTGTAAGTAATCTAGAGATGATTTAAAGTGCATGAGAGGACGAGCACAGGTTCTACACTAATGGTATACCATTTTATGCAAGGGACTTGAGCATCTGTAGATTTTGGTATCTGTGGGTGTGGAGGGTCTGGAACCAGTTCTCCACAGATACCAAAGGACAACTGTAATTCATTTAAAAAATAGTTGAAATTTGGGAACAACCCACATTTATCTAACAACACAGTGACTGCTGAAATATCACAAAGATACTAAGAGTGATTCTACACAAATATTTAATGTCATAAAACATAAAAACAGCAAAATACACCACAATATTTGCAGAGTGATTACAACTGTAAAACATATGTAAATGCACAGGTGATAAAAAGGCTATTTCTAAAATGTCAATAGTAGTTAGTGAGATTATGAGTGCTTTTATTTTTCCTTTTTTTCCATATTTAAAAAATTTCCTAACAATAAAGGTTACCTTAATAGTTTAAAAAATATCATATATAGTTAAAGTTCTCTAATTTATTACTATGTCAATTTTCTGAAAATATGTAATTATCACACACTGTGGCATCTACAGTGGGTTTTTCACATGCGATAATTTAATCAAAATCAGACAGGATCTGTTTATGCAGAGAGACATTTTCATCTTACATAACCTTGTGCCCTGGCATGGGCACTCCGAGAGCAGTGCACAGGGCGCTGGGCTTCCTGAGCTGTCAGCCCACTGACAGCTGGATTGTACATACTTGTGCCCTTTCCTGAGCACTGGAAGCCAAGGCTTGCTGCATTGGAGGGAATTTCAGGCTCTTTCCTCTGCATATTTTTTCTTTCCAGTTCACACATCTGCCTGGGAAACATGACCTGGGAGGCTGGGGTGAGGGATAGGGGGAATCAGGGAGTACTAGGAAGGGTCTCTACCCCTATAACATGATTCCTTGACCTGCTCTCAAGCCTTAAATGCCATAATTTTGACGTTCACCTTATTGTTTCTAAGATTCCCCATATATTTCTATTAAATCAGCTTGTTTCCTGAAAATATGTTTTAGGACTTTCTCCTTGAATCCTATTATGATGACTTTCAATTCTACTTATATGTTCATTACGTGCCAAGTATACTCTGTCACTTCCCTGAATTTTTACAGCAACCCTGAGATAAGACATTATCATCCCCATTTCACAGATTGCACTGCATGGAGTAAAATGCCCAATATTACAAAGGTAGGAAGTAGGAAGGGAAAAAACCCAAGAGTTGTTGGGCTTTTCAGAGCTTAGCTTGTGTGCTTTGAACCTTTCTTCAGCAAACTATAAATTACTGGCCAATTATAAAGAGGCTATAGTTTATATTATAAGTATAGATTTTTGTAGATTTGTGGATTCATCTGGGTTCTGAATCACTTAACTTATGGTTTCTACAAATTCAGGATGAAAATGATCTGAAATAATTTATGTTAATGAAACCTACACATACCAAATATCCCGTGTGATGGCTGTATTCTAGATCCATGATAGTACAGAACCCCCTATGAAAATAGGATCACTGGATCTTTCCACCCATCCAGGAAGACCCTCCCATCTTTCCTATCCATGCCTACTTTTGTCAGTAACTGAAATTATGAATGCTGCCTTAGGTTCTGGGTACTCTCTGGTCTTCCATACAACTAAAGAACAACTTGAAAATCCACTTCTGAACTCATTAAAGAACCAAGTAATCTTGACTTTAGAGAAAGTGGGGCGGTTAAGGATGTGACTCAGGATGTGAACCCAAATGGAAAAGTGCCTCTTACAAATGCACACTGCTCTCCTTAATTCTTGCCTGAACTCTACTAGGTAAGAGATCTCTCAGAGAAAGACTGCTTTATACATTTTCCCCAGAAAAAGCCCAGACTCATCACGTCAGGCCATATGTGTAATGAGAGGACACTGGATACCTAGTCTGGGCCTGTATGCTTTGGTCTAAATCCTGGCTAAGCAACTGAGCTGATTTTGGGCCAACTCATTTAACCTCTGTCAGTTTCTTCATCTATAAACTGGGGTAATGATAGCACTACCTAAGAGAACTGTCAGAAGAGCCAATGAGCTGAGAGTTGTAAAGCAGGGTCTGACACTCTGAGAGTGTTAAGTGTCAGCCATCATCATCCTCATCATGACACTGAAGCAACATGAAGAGATCATAATCCCACGACCAAGGAACCTACTATGTGGCTAAGGATCACCTCATTAATCATCAGTCACTGTAAGGCATAAAGAATATGAACCTTATTTGACAGAGGAAGAAACTGATTATAGAGGCTAACTAACTTGCCCAATATCTTTCAGGAACTAGAATTCCCAGTGGAACTAGGATGCCCAAGCTTATACTCTTTATACTACAATACGAATCACAGCACCTCACTCATACCAAATTCTGGTGTTTTTTTTGGTACCAGGGATCGAACTCAGGACCTTGCACCTGTGAGGCAGATGGGGGCACCACTGAGCTAAATCCCTGGTCCTCATCCCAAATTCTTAATCATGTCTGTGGATCATAATCAAGATTATGATTACCTGGACCCACAATATATATCAGACTACAGGCTTCATCAACTGCTTGTTTAATCCTTAGCCAGCTGACATAGAAGTACGAAAACAACAGTAGCCAAAAGTCATTTCAAAAAGACAAGCTGTGAGGTCAGTTTCTATGAATATACTTTCACCAAAGAAATGATTATATAAAATATAAAAGGTTCTTTCACATTGAACAGGACATAGTTCTCAAGGCAACGGCCACTCTTTGGAAAAAGGTTTTAAAATGTTACAGCTGCACACAAAGCCACAGGCCCTCTTCTTCACAGCAGAGGGGAACACGAAAGGAAGATTCTGGGAAGCAGTTAGTTACTCTGCAGTGATGAGGAAACCTGCTCGGGCAATCCCATGATGTATTTATCGCAGTAGTACCATGTCACCCAATGGCCCAGGGACAAAATACTGCTCTGGGCACTTTGGGAGGCTTCCAAGTTATAGCATCCAGCCAAGATTTTTATGGAATTCTGTAAACCTGAGGCAAATATCTCAGCACATAAGTTTCAAAGAAAATCTGTAGAATCTGTTGGATGGTGGATAAACGTTCAGTGAGGTGTCCTTGATCCCTTTAATCCCTGACTAAAACATAAAAGAATTTAGGCCACCATTCCTTAACAGCTGAGAGCCAACTGAAAGGCAAA